ACTCACTCGTTAGATAATTCCGTCTTTTTCTTATTTTATAATACAAGTAAAGACATATTTTTTAAAAGAACTGTCTAATTGTTAGATTTTTAAATACCTCGAAGTGGCCGTTCATAAATCTTCATGCCTCTGAATGTACCGATTTGCCTTGCAAAGTTAACAACATGGATGTAATCCACTGCTTAGTGTCATGAACCCTATATAATCCCCCTTCATCATCGTATAAAAATATGCGGTTTTTCGTCCGCAGAAAACATACGGCTTGTATTTTGGAAACCCTGAATCCGAATGTGCGGGTTGAGCGGGTTCAAAGTTTTTCGGGAACTACAAGACTTTTTGAAACCGAATTATGTCCCTTCTTCTAGTATGAAATAAAAAAAAGAAGAAATTTTTTAGCGAATCAGCAAAAGAAGGAATATTTTTTATGGATGTCTTCCATAAAATAAAATTGGGCTTTTGGGGCTATCGAAAATCAATGAGAAAAATTTATCTTACCTATGTAGTCATCTTTTGCAGAGTGTAGTTTAACACACAACCGGTAGGAAGTTCATTTAAAAGCCGGCATCCTAGGGTAATGGAAACTTATATAAATATGTTGCGGGCTGTATAATTTTGCAACCCTTCTTAATGAATTTCTTCAAAACGAAAACGCATTTTGGAATTTCTGTTGACATTTCATGAGTTAGTCCACCTGATGTATATATGTATATGTTAAAGGGATTATACCGTACTGCCGACATAGATACTTGCTAAAAGCCCAGACACGTGTTTCGCCGATATTCTGCCGCTGCGTGACACAGCTGCGAGGGGTTCGGCTCTTCAGTTGGACCCCCAGCGTTCTCTAGCTGTTTCCGGTATATGAACTCCAGAGAATAATCAGGTGAATAATTTCAGAAGATAATCAGTGCAGAACTTGTAGTTAAATCTCCGGGGCATGCTTTTTTGAGTCATAACCGAAATTTCAATGAACATTTGAGTCGAAGACAAACAAATATTGTGGAATTACCATGTAATGCCCATTCTACAAACAAGTAGTACTACGAGTAGTATGAATTCCATATGGTAAAGGTATTATACTCTACTCCCGACCTCGATAATTGCTAAAAGCCCAGACACGTGTTTCGCCGATATTCTGCCGCTGCGTGACACAGCTGCGAGGGGTTCGGCTCTTCAGTGGGACACCCAGCGTTCTCTAGATGTTTCCGGTATATGAACTCCAGAGAATAATCAGGTGAATAATTTCAGAAGATAATCAGTGCAGAACTTGTAGTTAAATCTCCGGGACATGACTTTTTAGTGTCAGAACCGAAATTTCAATGAACATTTGAGTCTAAGACAATCAACTGCTGTGGAATAACCACATAATACGGATCAGACTATAAATATCCTAGCCAGGCAACTTAAATCACTGTCTTTCACTGCACAACATAGGAAATAGTACGCTCGATCATTCTCTGGGGTTCATATCGTATAAACCGCACTGATAACTCTGGGTGACCCATTAGGGACACGTCAATCTCTCAGCTGTGTTACGAGGTAACAAAATATCGGCAGAAAACGCGCTCGGTTTATGTGATTTAGCAATGTCAAGAGGGCGGTACATAACACTTGATATTTACATATATGGATATAAGCGAAAGGGCCTTATCTCCTTCTTCGATATATATACATATATGTTGGAGAGAGAGGGATTCTGTGGGACAAGATGGTTTATTGCGTAAGTTTTCGACGCTGTTTCCCCAGGTCGTCGTTAGACGCAAGCGGAAAGCATCAAGCCTCCCAGTTACCAGCCTTGCATCCACTCACATAACCGGTACCAAATTAAACGTGTTTATACTACTTGTAACTTGTTAGTAAACGTTATTGATTAATCTTTTTGATTAGCTGTCAGCGATGAGGTACAAAACCGCTTTTTTCTCCTTCCCACTATCAATGTTTTTCTCCGACGACTTGTAACCAATAGGAAGTTCAAAGGCGCTCGCCTATATTTCCCTTAATAAACTGAAACTGAAAGTGAAACTGAAAGCAAGAAACAGCTAACACCAAGAGGGCACAAAAATCGATAATTGAATGGCGTGTGCGCAGGTTGGCGGCCGCCGTGTGTCAGTCTGAGCTGATTGGCTCCCTTCTCTTCCATTTCTCCTTCAGGTTTCTGTACACGGCATCCAACTCGATATGCCGGTTGATGCATGATTCATCACAGTTCATCGCCTCGAGGAATTCTCGGCCTTTCTTGAAAGGGCATACCGCGACAACGCGAGATTTGTCCCAAGTGAAAGTGTGCCCGGTTTCCAGAGTATGCATGGCTACCTGTTGGTTTCGTCTCTTTACTGCCAACTGGTGCTCATGGATGCCTGTTGAGGTGGATTTTCCAGTCTGGCCACAATAGACGACAGTACATGCATCACACGGTATCTTATAGACGACCTCTTTCTTGTCCAGCTGATTAATTCTATCCTTGGGATGTACCAGCTGAGAGCGCAAAGTAGTCGTAGGTTTGTGCGCTACTCGAATTTGGTGCTTCCTTATGTGTCTTTCGACAAGTTCAGACATATTCTTGATGTAAGGAAGAGCTCGCCATGTGCTTAGTTCAGGCGTCTGATTGGAACTACCCGGTTCCTTCTCCCTTGATTCTCGCTGCTTCATGCATCTGCGTACAAAATCCTTAGGATATCCATTTTGCGAAAATAATTCGTTCAAATAGTTCAATTCAGCTCGATAGCCTTCTTCATCCGAACAATGTGTTTTTGCTCGACAAAGCAGACTGTTTACGGCACTCCGTTTGTGAGAAATAGGGCTGGTTGCTCTTATAAGGTAGAATGACTTCAGTGTAATTTTTTTCCGGTAAAAGGATGTGTGTAACGTTCCGTCGGCCTCACGCTGCACGAGAACATCTAGAAATGGAAGTTTGCTGTCCACTTCTTTTTCAAGTGTGAATTGAATCCCACCAATTGTTCAGTTGATAGTATTGTGGAGCATTTCTAGTTGGTTCTTTTTACGATAACAAATGTGTCATCCAAATATCGCAGCCACAATTTAGGAGTACACAACGGGAATGCCGTTGCTTCTAGTTTCTGCATTGTTATTTCAGCGAGAAAACCAGAAATGGGTGACCCCATTGGGGCTCCCTTCAGTTGCTTGTAGAATTGCTGTTCAAATGAAAAGTTAGTTTCCAAGCATAAACCAATCAGTTCGAGCACCGCGGCGGCGGGCACATCAATGTCGTAGCACAGTAGGAGGTCCTCGGTGCATTGTTTTGCGACATTCAACGGTATTGACGTGAACAGGGAAACGACATCAAAAGAGACCATTATCTCATCGGCGGAAATTGTGATCCCTTGCAATTTCTTCAGGAATTCTGTCGAGTTCTCTATTGAAGTTTCACAATTCTTCGTGAGTGGATGAAGTTTCTGGAACAACCATTTGGAAATTTTGTAGTTAGGCGCACCGATTGGTGATACAACCGGTCTAAGTGGGACTTCGGTTTTGTGGACTTTAGGCAATCCATAGATCTTTGCGATGGTCGCTCAGTTTGTTTGAGCGATTTAGCGATGTCTTCTGGCAGTTGTTTCTTCCCTGTGAGACGCTCCAATTTTTGTGAAGCAGACCTCATCGCGGGTAGAGAAAGCTATCTTGACAAAATAAAGGACTTTTATGCGCGAGCGTGGGAAAGGCCAATGAAAAGACTGCACATAATTGATCAACAAATGCATATTTAAACGCCATGCTTCTCATTTCCTTTTACTCCGAAGATGCACTCGAGTTCGAGTGTGAAACTTCTGATGATGACACCGTGTACCCCAGAAATTGCCATGTGTTTTCTGCCGATCTTAACGCCTGTGATTAGCATTCTACCTAAATTAATGCACGTGAACCGGAAGAGCATCTTCACAGAAAGCATACTTTTAATTAATCAAGTCCCCGAAAATTTAAAAATGCTACATTTCGTAAATTCCCGATGCTGGGATCCCGAATTGTCTTAACACTACCGTGAATTACACCGGAATGTTGATTTTTCTGTGCAAGGGTCTAAGTTGGTGTTATCCTGTTAAATTTCCTCAATTTTTGCAGCAAGTAAATGAATGACTGACTGCTCCTTAGTAGTTTGAAGTGACCAAACTTCCCCTCTTACACATCGATGTGATTTCGCGCATTTTCAATTGGTTGACCATCATCCGATGAACGACAGAGCGTAGAGAGTAGATTTGCCAAATCTTCGCCGAGCGTCCTTTACATGTTTGTCGTTAACTCATCGGTGCTTTGCGAGTTCGACTTATACAGCTGAAGAGGTTTTCTTCAAAATACTTAAAATGTCCAACCGAACCACTTCAATTACTAGGACTTTATCGAAGTCATTCTCGGGTCATTTGAATCCAGTGTTCCCAGTAAGAAAAGTCTTGGGAGATTTTAAAAGCTGATCAGTTTGGCTACGTCTTCTGGGTTGGATGTTTGAGGGGGGTGAGATTGATGTGCGGTGATGTGATTGCGTGATTTAGCCGGCGGCTTATTTTGCTACGGTGTAGATGCAGATTTTAAATTCATCCTTGCAAAATGGCTTCAGAAGGAGTAGGAATATATAGCTGGCTGTCCTGTGTCTAATACGTAATGCCTAAGAGCAGTTTTCATTTCCGTAAGTGTATATCACGAGTCTTACAGAGAGTGTTAGCATTTCCAACATGTGCATGTGTGTTTCTGCTTGACCGCGAGTGCAGTCTTGGGTTCGAAAATGTGTATTGCCTTCCTCTGATATATTTTAATGCAGTAGGGGTGTAGGGGTATCAGCGGTGGGTTCACGTAATGGTCGTGGTGGTCGCTCAATGCTTACAGGTGAGACTGCGCCTAGCGTCCACTTGCTGGCACTCAACTCTTACCTGTGGCTCCACGTAGATGGGCTCTGCTCAGCGGCCACGCCCCGGGCAACCGTCTCGACCGGCGGGCTAAACCAGGTGAGGGGGCCCTGTGCGCTGTGCCGTGTGCACAGGGTTTGCGGATTCCGCTGGATGGAAGGTCGGATGGAACCATGCGTCGGCATCGTCGTGACGTGGTTCGTCTCTGCACGTTGCTTGACAGCTGGGGACTGGATGGATCTCCACATCGACATCGCCTTGACGCGCCCACCCTCGCCGACGGAGACCGCGGCTTACGGCGAATTCGAGTCGCTCTCCACTACAACCCGAAGTCGTGGTCCCATAGTGGAGTTCGGCCGTGCCAAAACGGCACATGTCAGCCCTATTCAGGGATGGCACTGCCAGGCCCCACGAGGGGAAGGGCCTAGAAAAGGTGGCCTAAACATTGCTGGGTACCAAGCCGTCTCCAGGCTAGCCAGGGCCGCAGAGTTCTTATCATGGTCGAAACAATCAAAATCGAAACAACAACAATACCAATAACAACAACAACCATACTCATCCTCCACATCCTACCTATTCTTCCTCTTCCTCTGCATATTTATTCTGCCTATTCTTCTCCTTCGTCATCTTCTTCTCCATCTCCTTCCCGTCGCCCCACTCGCTGTCACCAGACTGGCAGGGTGAGCCCGCACACTCTGGCAGTCTGGAATGTTCGTTCCCTTTTAGACAATCCGAGGAGCAATCGACCGGAAAGGAGGACGGCGCTAGTGGTACGAGAACTGGCGCGCTACAAGGTGGACATCGCCGCACTCAGCGAGACCCGTTTCTCCGAACAAGGCCAACTGGAGGAGGTGAGTGCCGGCTACACCTTCTTCTGAAGTGGTCGACCCAGGGCAGAGCGACGGGACGCGGGTGTCGCCTTCGCCATTCGGAACGACATCGTGAGACGACTGCCCTGTTTGCCGCAGGGCATCAACGATCGCCTGATGAGCCTCCGCCTGCCTTTCTGGGGAGACAAATTCGCCACCATCATCAGCGCCTACGCTCCGACGATGACCAACCCCGACGCCGTCAGAGACAAATTCTACCAGGACCTGCACGCTCCCATGGCGACTGTATCAAAGGCGGACAAGTTGATTGTCCTTGGTGACTTCAACGCCCGCGTCGGCACAGACCATACGGCCTGGAGATGAGTGCTGGGTTCCCACGGTCTCCGCGGCTCGAACGACAATGGTCTGCTGCTTCTCCGCACCTGCGCAGAACACCGCCTCATCCTGACGAACACCTTCTTCTGTCTGTCGGAGCGAGAGAAGGCCACTTGGAGGCATCCTCGGTCGCGACAGTGGCACCTGCTGGACTATGTCCTCGTCCGGAGGCGAGATCAGCGGGACGTGCTGGTGACGAAGGCGATCGCGGGTGCTGACGGGTGGACCGACCATCGCCTCGTCATCTCGAAGATGCGTATTCGCCTACAGCCTCACAGGAGACCACAAGGTAAGCAATCCCCAGGTAAGCTGAATGTTGCCTTGTTGTCTTTGCCCGCTCACCATCTTCATTTCAGCAATGAGCTAGCTCAACGGCTAGACAACATTTCTATCGCTGCCGACGCCACCGCCATTGCCGAGAACGCCTCCGTGGAGAACCGCTGGTGTCAACTGCGAGATACGGTCCAGTCGACGGCGCTCGCCGTCCTCGGTCGCGCTCCCCGCCAACACCAGGACTGGTTCGACGACAACAACGCCGCCATCAGCAATCTGCTAGCTGAGAAGAACCGCCTACACAAAGCCTACGTAGATCATCCAACTGATGTCACCAAAGCTGCCTTCTACCGCAGTCGACGCCAACTTCAGCAACGACTGCTCGAGATGCAGGACGCCTGGACTGCTCGCAAAGCTGAGGAGATCCAAGGGTACGCGGACCGCAACGAATGGAAGAACATCCTCTCTGCGATCAAAGCTGTCTACGGTCCGCCGACGAAGGGCATCGCTCCTCTCCTCAGCGCCGACGGCAACACTCTGCTGACTGAGAAGACGCAAATCCTGCAGCGATGGGCTGAGCATTTTCGAGGCGTCGTCAACCGCCCCTGCGTCATCTCCGACGCCGCCATCGAGCGTTTGCCGCAAGTGGAGACCAACGTGGACCTAGACCTCCCGCCATCTCTCCAGGAGACCATCAGGGCCGTGCAGCAATTCTCCAGCGGGAAAGCACCCGGATCGGACGCAATCCCTGCTGAGGTCTACAAGCACGGAGGTCCCCTACTGATGGATCACCTGACTGCGCTCTTCCAGGAGATGTGGCGTCAAGGCGAAGTCCCGCAAGATTTCAAGGACGCAACTATCGTGCACCTATACAAGCGCAAAGGGAATCGCCAAGTCTGCGACAACCACCGCGGCATCTCCCTACTGAACATCGCCGGAAAGATCTTCGCTCGCATCCTGCTCAACCGCCTCAACATCTATCTGGAACAGGGCCTTCTGCCGGAAAGCCAATGCGGCTTCCGTCGTCATCGTGGGACCGCGGATATGATCTTCGCCGCCCGCCAACTTCAGGAGAAGTGCCAGGAGATGCGGACCCACCTGTACTCTACCTTCGTGGACCTGACGAAGGCCTTCGACACGGTGAATCGTGAAGGACTGTGGAATATCATGCAGAAATTCGGCTGTCCGGAGCGATTCACTCAGATGGTGCGTCAGCTGCACGACGGTATGATGGCGCGAGTAACGGACAACGGAGCTGTCTCAGAAGCATTCGCAGTGACCAATGGAGTGAAGCCGGGCTGCGTACTGGCGCCTATCCTCTTCAGTCTTATGTTCCCTACAATGCTGATGGACGCCTACCGCGACGAACGCCCCGGGATCCTCATCGCCTACAGGGCGGAAGTTCACCTGCTGAATCAACGACGGATGCACTTCCAGTCTCGCGTATCCACAACCACCGTTCACGAACTCCTCTTCGTCGACGACTGCGCCCTGAACACCACCTCGGAAGAGGAGATGCAACGGAGCATGGACCTGTTCTCCGCCGCCTGCGAGAACTTCGGTCTGGTCATCAACACGCAGAAGACGGTGGCGATTCACCAACCGCCACCCAACTCAGCCACAGCCCCCAACGCGCCACCGCAAATCAGCGTGAATGGGACCCAACTGCAAGTGGTGGAGAACTTCCCGTATCTGGGCAGTACCCTCTCCCACAACACCAGGATTGATGACGAAGTCGCCAACAGGATCTCGAAAGTCAGTCAAGCCTTCGGTCGTCTCCGAAACACAGTTTGGAATCGCCACGGTCTCCAACTGAGCACGAAGCTGAAGATGTAAAAGGCCATAATCCTGCCGACACTGCTGTATGGAGCAGAGACTTGGACGATATACGCAAAGCAGGCACGTCGTCTGAACCACTTCCACCTCAGTTGTCTTCGTCGCATCCTGAGGCTGAAGTGGCAGGATCGAATCCCCGACACTGATGTGCTGGAACGGACGGGAATACTCAGCATCTGCGCCATACTGAGGCAAATTCAGCGTCGCTGGAACGGCCACCTGATGCGCATGGACGACGAGCGACTACCTAAACGACTCTTCTACGTAGACGTTGCAACGGATTCTCGCCGTCAAGGGCTGAAACAGCACCTTACACGCAAGTGAGAGACAAGCCGCTCAATCCCCGTTGTGTGAAATCATGGTGTTTGTGTGTATGGAGGGCCAGGTCGTGCTTGTGGCGCGCGCAGTCATGGTCAGTCGACCATGACAGCCACCGCGCCCATTCCCCACTCCAGTCTGCTGACCAGCTCGGACAGCGGCTGGGGTGTGGGAGTGGGAAGGGTGAGTGAGGTCGACGACTCAGCGCATTTGCTCCTCACTATAAACAATCTGATGCGCTTGACGCTATCATGGTGCGCTAAAAGCCGTGGCTTGGAAGGTTGCCAACTGACGGGGTATCTTGAACCTCCTCATTGACCGGAGGCGGTCTGAGAGTCAGGCTGCAATGGCTCCTTTTTAATGTGACCTTTATGGCACTCTCACCACAGTGTGGGATCCGAGTCAGGCGTTGACGGCACGCCCAGGTGCTGCTTCGGCCGTGCCAGCCTCCAAATCTCTGTTGTGTTGGTTGAAATCCTGGTTATTGCTGTGTGGACCAGGGGGTGCGGAGTGGAACGCCAAGGTGAGGATCCGTCCTAGCCATTCACCTGCGGCCTCTCTCGTTTCCGGTCTTCTTGACTCTGTCTTGACACCGGGCTTGGGCGAGGGAGGAGGAGAGAGTGTAGCTAGATACAACGCAAGTCTACCGGCACTATAAACCCCTGCGTGTGTCATCGTCCGTGCTCCCATTGCTGCTGCAACTGTGGGGCACACGGTGGACATCATCGAAACCGATGGTCGAACTGTCATAATGCTGTAGAAGTTATTTTGTTCGTTCTTATTGTTATGCGATTAAGCGGTGTATGTTTTTCTCATCCTTTTCATTTCTAGAATCATGCACAGGCGGCTGTCCAAAACTGAGAGTAATTAAACTGCTGTTGCAAGTTCTACAGTTACGTCTGATCGTGTATCTGTAACCAAAGAATGCAACCACGTTTGTTACTTAATTGTTCTAAGTAGGTGTGTTTGTGCTGACGCTTTGTTGCTGTTGTTGGGCGTTTCCGCACCCGTTCAGGAAGCTGTCTTCCACTTCCGTTACCACTCCTAACTTTCCAGCTCAATGCCGGAGGTCGTTCTGACATTTCTCTTGTCGGTCTCTTCTACCCTTCCGGTGGTTAGGGTTAGGACTGGTGTTAGGGTTAAGTTTTAAAGGTAAGGGTTAGGGGTTAGGGTTGGGGTTTAGTATTAGTGATAATCGCAATCTTACAGTTGCCGAATTCTCGTCTCCTCCTACCCTTCCATTAACATCCTTCTCTCTGTGACTGGGCTAAGTACCTCAATGATATGGCAGGCTCCTACTTACCAGAGTCTGCGTCCATCTTAAGACAGGAGACCCTTTCGCATGCCACCCGTTTCTTCATCAATCCTGCTAGTGTGTGGTTAAGTCGCCCAACCGTCCATTTGAGACTCGTTCTATTTGCGAGGGTGTTTTATCGCTCTTTGTATACCCGTCAGCTACTCTGACAATCAAATCACCTGCTAGCTCTCTTTATGCGATATATTAACTTGTTTTTTGTTTTGGCGATTGTCTTGATTAGGCACAACAACGGTACAGTGTGCAATGGCTTCCCTATTACCCTTAGTCATGTTTCTGAGTGGCATGGACCATTCCGTTTCTCATCATCCTTTCTCCGTGTGTAACCGTAGTAATGTCCCCTTCATGCATACCGTGTATTCCTCGTCTTTAATCCACCAAGTAGCTGGGCTCCAAACCTCAAGATGTGGAGTTTAAGTCAGCTTGCAGATTTCGTTTGGTCCAGACTGCCTTTCCATGGGCCGCCTGCTTAGACCCTTTGGCCTGACCTCACCTTCTCCTCCAAGCAAACTTGCGGACAGGTTCGCCCATTTTAAGGGAAGCCCATACCTTCTTCTCTTGATCATGCGTCTGTCTAAGGCAGGAAAATTGACGGCAAAGCTCAGAGGACCTACGCCTGAGTACCCCATCCAGCTGCCTGTGCGTCTGCCCATCCGTTTTAATTTTCCAGTTGTTCGGACGATTCCGTGTGTCTTTGCCAATCTCTTCTCTAACCCAGACTGCTTTAAGGTTACCATCGGTATGGATTTCGCCTTAATCTACACTTGCTAGCGGTTGGGTCTGGTGTCCTAAACGGCGGCGTTCACTTCCGGCATAGCTTGCGTAACACCTTCCGGTTTTCGTTCTGCAAGCCCTCCTCTCTTTGTCGCTTGTCCGTTGCTGGAACAGATACTTAATGGGCTTGGTTGAGACCAATTGCTCAGTGTCCTCGTACTCCGCGTACGGTACCTTTGTCCTTTAATCGAACGACCCGTTGGGTGTGATGCGCAAATGCCCACGTTTACAGACAGTGCTGCATGTAATTTTCGCCCCCTTCGCCCCATACGCACTCCCTGAACATTCTTCTCCCCTGCACACGTCAGCGGCCGGGCTGCCTGTACGACTGTGTGCCTTTAGACCGCGTGATCAGTACAAATCGCATTTGCGGCACGCTCAAATTTCACGAGAACTCCAATCGCTCGCAGTAGAGACCATGTGTCTCTAGCGTGTTGGTGCGACGGCTGTGTTTTGGAGCCACCGAACGTGAACTCGGTTGAGGCTCTCACTGTCTCCTACTTCATTTCATACTGAACCACTTTAAAGTCTCCCAGGTTAAGCAGCGGCGTTTACAGTCAGCGCACAGTGCATTTTCATTCGTATTTTCATTCTCTCCCGTGTTTGCAATTTTGACTGGACCTGCCCTTCCCTTTCCAGCCAGAGAATTGGTTGGTGCTCCGATTTTTAGCGCGATGTATTTATAATTTTCCTGTGCATTATGATGCGCCACGTGCTCGCTTTATCTACAGTGGCTGCATAGTTCGGCAAAAGACGCCCGTCTACAGCGGACCAGGTGCTTACGCACTACCATGCAGCTCCTCTTATTCGCTGGCCTCTACCTTACTTCAAAATCCATGCAATGGCCCTGCAGGGTATACAGACGGCACAGGAAAAATGACATTGTTACGCATAAAGAATATTTCAGTGTTGGAGTAATTGCCGTAGACAAACTGGTGGGTTTCGTCTTGCAGGAATTTGATCACGCCCTTCTACTTCCCTTCCTCGTCCCCTTTCTTCTTCTCCCGGTTGCCAGCTCTTTGACTCTTTGTTTCGACAAGTGCGCTGACCTCCCATCTTCACATTCGATGTTGGGTTATTGTACCCAAATGAGAGCTCAATGGCGGGGGTAGGGACTATAAGTCTATTGCTAAGGTTTTGATAAAGAGTACATACGGAAATGTACGAGCCAATCGGATCATGCCACTTAGTTGATACCAAGTGGATTGGTCTTCCGAGTCATCTGATTGGCTGGGCGTCCCTCCAATCCGGCCGGCGACAGTCTCGATGTGAACACCTGCACGCGAGGACGGCATGTAAGGGCGTCGTTATATCGGCATGCGAATGTGTCGATTAAGACGGCTCCTCCTATCTATCGACTCGAATGCTAATTGACAAGCAGCTACTGCATGGAATGTCACACCAGCGAGGAATGAGAGACGTGACAAGTATAGAAAACATTTGACAGTTCGACGTCGTGCCCGATGATATCCACTTTGTGCTTTGCGGCAAGGTGCGACAGGCACCGTGACTTGTTCGAGAATTCGATTGTAATGATAGTAGACTTGGTCAGCATCTACCGCAGTATTCCCTGCACCACATGGGCCCGGTGTCAATACATAGTCAAGAAAACCGTTCGTCGCACATGACGCAGGAAGCCGACACGGCCTAAGCCACCCCTAAGTGCGTCGCCACACCCGGCTCGTATCACACTGGGTGAGCGTGCCATAGAGGCCAGATTAAGAAGGAGCCATTGCAGCTTAACTCTCCGTCCACCAGCCCACCATTCCACACAAGCACACACTGGGCTGACTGGAAGTTCCAGGCTTTCCCATCAGTTGATAACTTTGGCAACGGTATAGAGAAGGACCCCACTTAACTGTCAGTAGACTGTTGATTTTGTTATATGGGATTTTACCTTGGCATACATTTGCAGGCTGTTGCAGAAATTACACTGCCAACAGCGATTACTTCGCACGATCCCACGTCTTAACGCAAAGTCTGATATTTTGTGTAATTTAATTTTTGTTTATTGTTTAAGTTTTATTGTTTAAGAACCGCCTATGCGAATGGTCTGACAAATGGCTGCTAAAGTTTAACCTAGAGAAGTGCGTCGCGCTGCGT